TGCACATGTTTACAAACGCCATTGATTGGAATGAAAATAGACGCGCTGAATTTCGTTTGTTTTATGAAAGATAGTATTTATCGAACATTTATCTATATAAAAACATGATTAATATTGTAGAAATTGTATTTCTAAAGATTCATATATAATTCATATTTTATTTAGTAGACAATAAATATTCAGTAAGATACTAAAAACGATTATTAATTCTGAAATGTGCATCAAATCTCAGCTATTATTAATCAGTATGTATTAGGTTAAAGTCTTAAAACAATAATTTCGAAGTAGACCTAGTAAACAAATAATTGTAATTAAAGTTTAGGTTCCCATGACGTCAGATGACGTATTCAATATGATGCTATATTTTGGAATCTGACTTAATTTAACGATGGCCCTGTCAGTTGTAGTAATGACAATAATTGTGATTTTTTAACCATGTAGTAAAAATAGTACAAGATGAGAGTCAAGAAGAAGTTCAGTTTCTACTTTATTTTGTAACAGGCAACTCTATTTTTTTACATAGGCCTACAGTAAGATTCATTATTTTAAGTTAATACAAGACAAAACTTCTTAAATGTTTTATATATTATAATAATAAGTACATAATTCTTTGTAGGCCTATAAATAGCTTGTTTTGTTTTATAATAATACATGTGTTGAGTATATTGATATTGGTTGTGCGATGAGGTTTTTTTTGTCTTTCCGTGTGATTAAAACATGCCAATTATCAGGAAATATTTTCCAATTTTATTATATTACCACCTTTTATTACATAGATCTTTTTCAAAACATAACTGCTTTTATAACATTATATAGACCCATTAAACACAAAAACTGCTCTGGCTTCGCCCCCGACCCCACCGGGGTCCTTAGGCAATCCTCTGGACCCCACGCCAAGAGAACCCCCCCCCCTTTGAAATGACCTGGCTACGGGCCTGTGGAGGAACTAGGAAATCGAAATAGAGAGGGCAAGAGAAGGGCTTTCACAGATTGAGGGTCTGTAACACCTCAGCCCGACCATAGTTGGGCTGATGTACGAAAAAGTATAATTAGGCCTATGGCACCTCTAGATCGTCGAAGATGGCACTCTTAGACTTAAATTTAATACAATTCTCTTTTCTTTTTAAACATGTTTTTGATAAGCTTAGGTAGGTGGTGGGGATAGGAGGGGCACCACCACTTGGAATAGTGCAGCACAACATTAGGGAAAATGTCCTAATCACATTCCTTGATCGCTGCTGCTGTGGATGGACGATGGTTAGAGGAGGATTCATTGACAATCGAACAATAATCTGTGATATAATATTGTCCTAGACAACCAATATAATCTTTCTGTATTGCAAATATGGCAAAATTTGCCGTCTTGATCCAAAATAATGACGTTGGTACAATGTTTCTTTAAAAAAATAACAATTACGATGAATATTCTCAGAATTCTAAAATGCACGGAACTATAATTTGTATTTCATTGATATACAAATAGTAAATAGGAAGAAAGTATTATCGTGCATGATTGGAAGGCAAAACGTTCCCAACGTCGACACTATGAGAAAGGTACGTAGCGTCCCGATTGTCATGTGCACGTCGTGAAATCAGGAAGTGATTGAAGATAATTTCGTACGTGCCGTCTTGATCCAAATTAGCGACACCGGGGCAATAGTTGATAGTAAATAACAGTACAATAGATATCCACATAATTGTTGAATGCAGGGACCTATCTGTAGTAATACATTAGAAATACAAATTATAATTCGGGACAAATAATTATCTCTTTACATGACATGACCCATGTCATGTGTACATCGAGAACTCAAGCGGTAAAGTGAGTACGTACCATCCCGATTCAAGGAATGAAGCCGGGCCCGTATTCATAATAACTAATGGCTACAATAAATTTTCTCTAAATTATATACAAACGAACATTTAGTAACTAAATTATTATTTTGAATGTGAATCAACTTTTCGGCCTAACCAGGGCCCCTAGCGACAGGCCTTCTAGGCTAGACATCGATAGGGAAAGCTTGCTCAAAGTAGTTATGACGGTTAGAGACTAGACTTATCTATAGGTTTTCATACCCGTAGAATTCAATAAAAGCATTTTCAAATCTATATGATTTTTCTGATTGGACGATGTCAGTTTCAATACCAAAACAAGTTTTGGTATTATATATATTGCAATGATTTTTGAAATGTTTAAGGGGGTTTGGGACAAAAGAATTTCTGTGGGAAATTTTTTTGTATTTTCCATGACGTCATCAAAATACATTTTTCTGATTGGACGGGGCCAAAAATGTTTTAGGCATAGGCCAACATTAAAATTTCTATTGTTAATCTTACAGTGAATATAAATGTTTTTTTTTTGTTTTTTTTTAATAAATCGAAATCGAAATCAAAATTCATAATAATACCAGACAACCTAATTTTACATTTTTTAAATGTAAAATGTGTTTGCATCTGAGATTCCATGGAATTATCAGACATTAGGCCTACACCAATGTCATGATATATTAATTCTGTCCTCAATCATATTAGGCCTATATTGTAAAAGTATCGATAATGGTCGTTTTATGTTTTTTTGATAATTCTCAGTGCTACAACATAGGCCTATTAAATGTCCCCCCCCCCCTCTGGAGTCTGACTTTCAACAAGGGGCCGAGTTGACTTGAAGCTATTAAAAGGAAAACAATATTACGGTATATAGAAAGAGATAAGATATTTTTCTATCATTTGGTTATAAACCAATATGAACAACGCTAAAAAAATACAGTAACTACTAAATAGATGCCGGACCGATTTTGGCTGAAGTGGACTACATTTGGCCAGTAATTTTAAAGCTAAAAATCGGCCAGTCCGTCGGAACGTTTAGCCAGGCCCGTAGCCAGGTCATTTCAAGGGGGGGGGGGGTTCTCTTGGCGTGGGGTCCAGAGGATTGCCTAAGGACCCCGGTGGGGTCGGGGGCGAAGCCCCCGAAGCCAGAGCAGTTTTTGTGTTTAATGGGTCTATATAATGTTATAAAAGCAGTTATGTTTTGAAAAAGATCTATGTAATAAAAGGTGGTAAT